CCCCCCATTCTCTCACCGAGCCAACTCCCTACACCGCCCTAATTCTCACGTCGCCGAGTATCTTTTTTGCTTCCTTTCGTTCGATACTCCTACAAGTTCGACTCCGGCCAGCTCGGCGTATACCCTCGCTCGATACCGATCCAGCGACCTACCTCTCCCATCACAAGCAATTGACTCAGGTCTTTTCCGCTTTCCCACCCTGCCAGCTATCGCCGCGAACAACCCGCCTTAACCCGCGCACAATGACTTCTCCGACGAGTCAACGCCGCCCTCGCGGTGGCAGCGAAGACCAAGGCAATGGTGTTTTCGACGATGCGAAAACCTACTATACCTCAGAAGAGCGCCATGTTAACCGTGCTGGACCTCGAACCAGAACCTACTCACAGGTATGCTATCCACCCCCGCCGATACCGCACGCCTGACCGCTTGTTGTCACTCATTGGTACCATTTGTAGTAGATGCTGATTCTGTTTTTTTTTTCCCTCCTTAGAATAGCTTGTTCCAACAATTCGAGCGCATGGGACTTCGCGAGCCCTTCCGAAGAGGCAGTCACGGTCAGTCTACTCCTGCTTACGGCTCTGTCACTCTGGGCTGCTGATGTGCTGACCTACGAATCCTCTAGACGAATCCTCCATCCTTGCGAACCGAAAGTTCCTCATTCAAGTAGACGAGACGCTCAAGAGCTTGCAGGCTCAAGAAGATACCGATGGAAACATGCAAATCACCATTGAGGACAATGGTCCCAAGGTATGCCTGTGACCCCACTGCCGTCGCTCATTGCTCAGGAGGAGACAACAAAGTTGATACTGATGCGACTCAGGTCTGGTCTTTGAGAACCGCTGCCTCCGCGGGCCACAATCGTTTCGATGTCCGAGGAACCTATATGCTTTCCAACCTGCTGCAAGAGTTGTCGCTTGCCCAACAATACGGCCGCAAACAGATCATCCTCGACGAGGGCCGCCTGAACGAGAACCCCGTGAACCGATTGTCGAGACTTATCAAAGACCACTTCTGGGAGGGATTAACGAGAAGAATTGATGCCTCGACCGTGGAGATTGCAGCCAAAGATCCCAAGGACTGGACCGATGACCCGCGTCCGCGTATCTATGTTCCTGTTGGAGCTCCGGAACAGTTCGACTTCTACACCAAGGTGGCTCACGACCGCCCAGAGATCCGATTGGATGTTGTCAGGCTTCCGGAGGTCATCACTCCTGAGCTCGTTCGCGACATGAACGCCAAGCCCGGCCTTCTTGCCGTTGAGATGGAGAAGATTAAGGATCCCAAGACGGGCGAGGACACACTCAGGGGTCTTCCCTTTGTGGTGCCGGGCGGACGGTTCAACGAGCTTTATGGCTGGGATAGCTACATGGAGTCCCTTGGTCTTTTGGTTAACGACAAAGTCCATCTGGCTAAGTCGATGGTGCAGAACTTCTGTTTCTGTATCCGTCACTACGGCAAAGTCCTCAACGCCACTCGCTCCTACTACCTCTGCCGTTCTCAGCCCCCCTTCCTGACTGACATGGCTCTCCGTGTCTACGAGAAGATCAAGCACGAGCCGGATGCAAAGGAATTCCTTCGGACGTCTATGCTCGCCGCTATCAAGGAGTATCACAGTGTCTGGGTCGCCGAGCCGCGTTTGGACCCGGTGACTGGTCTCTCGAGATACCGACCTGAAGGATTGGGTGTCCCCCCCGAGACGGAAGCAGACCACTTTGTCCACATTCTCGAGCCATACGCCGAGAAGCATGGCATCACCTGGCAGGAGTTCGTCCAGGCCTACAACCATGGCAAGATCAAGGAGCCGGAGTTGGATGACTACTTCCTGCATGACCGCGCCGTGCGCGAGTCTGGCCACGACACCTCCTACAGACTGGAGAAGATCTGTGCCGATCTTGCGACCATTGATCTGAACTCGCTTCTCTTCAAGTACGAGACTGACATTGCCCGCACCATCCGGAACGTCTTCAACGATAAGCTCGTCATCCCCGACGAATTCGCTGTCGGGCCGCTCAAGGCTGGCGAAGTGGTTACTTCGGCAATCTGGGACCGCCGAGCGAAGCGCAGAAAGCTTGCTATCGACAAGTACCTCTGGAACGAGGAGGCGGGTATGTACTTCGACTACAACACCGCCAAGAAGGAGCAGTGTGACTATGAAAGTTGCACCACTTTCTGGGCCCTGTGGGCAGGCGTGGCCTCTCCCAAGCAAGCGGCAGCCATGGTCCAGCAGGCCCTTCCCAAGTTCGAGGCCGTCGGCGGTCTGCTGTCGGGCACAAAGAAGTCCCGTGGTGAAGTGGGCTTGGAACGACCTAACCGCCAGTGGGATTATCCCTACGGCTGGGCTCCTCAGCAAATGCTTGCCTGGACTGGACTTGTCCGATACAGCTTCAACGAGGAAGCTGAGCGTCTGGCGTACAAGTGGCTGTTCATGATGACCAAAGCCTTTGTTGACTTCAACGGAGTGGTCGTCGAGAAGTACGACGTTACTCGACCAATTGATCCCCACCGGGTCGATGCCGAGTATGGTAACCAGGGTCTTGATTTCAAGGGTGTTGCCAAAGAAGGGTATGTCGTCTGTGTCTGTTACGTTCTGTGATGGCTCTGCTAACAAAGACTAGATTCGGATGGGTCAACGCAAGCTATGTGTACGGACTGCAGATCGTCAATGCACACATGCGCCGTGCTCTTGGAACGCTCACCCCTTACGAGACCTTTGTGAAGGCCGTTGAAGAGAACAACGAGAAGCAGCTTGCCGAGCTTCTCTGAGTGACTCTGTCGTGGTCGGGAGACGAAGCTACACATGACGTATACGAAGGGCCATGAAAAGCACGACGAAAAGCTGGTAAAAACGGTACAGGACCTGTTGTTGAGTCGGGGTCGAGTTGGATTGGCCTCGAGAGGGGTCTGCATTTGCTCTCACATCTTGCCGCGGCACGTCGGATATTGGAGGTTGGGAAAGGAGTTTGCAAAGGACTGACGTTAAATGGAAGCTGCATGACCATGCATCTTGACTGCATCGAGACACGAATGAAGGGATGGGCAGGGTCTGGTAGACTGTTGAAAGAGGTTAGACTGGCTGCAAAGCCAAACCAGATATCCACCCATTGCGATCCAAACTTGTACAAGTTGACGTGACACGATGGTGATATGGGACGAAGTGACGGGGAGGGATATGTTCGGCACGTGTCGATCGGACAAGTTCCGTGGGAGCAAGTAGATTGATCAAGCCTCATTGAGCTTCAAGAGGTGTGGCAAGAGGTTGGCTCGCGGTGCGTGGTGTGAGGTAACCTGGAATTAAGATGGGACATGTGACACAGTGACTGACAGTAATGGAGTATACTACCGGTAGGTATTGAATGACTTGAGGAGGAGGGTAGGGAGATTCCGGAAGCATCTTCGCAACGGCGGCTGGATTCGGCGAGAGGCACAGAGTCGAGCTAAGGGCCGAGGTATCTCTCCAAGTCTTTACCGCGAGTTGGAGAAGCTGAGGCCAGAAAGTGTGACGCACGCCAGGAAAGCGTGATCAGCTCTGGGTTAAGCCGGCGCCAATGGAATGGCTGCCGACTCAGGCACAGTTTCTTCACATGCTCGAGAACCGCCGCTACCCCGCGCAACAGATTTGGGGGAGAGTTGGCAGCAGCTTCGACCTTTGTACTCTCTGTATGCTACGTACCAGATGGATTTTGTGTTTCGCAATTACCTTTAGAGAGAAAAATGAAAAGGATGAACCGGAGCACCGAATACAAATGACAGGCTGACGGAGCATGGCGTTGCAGAATCTCGGGGACCGGCAGACGTACGGGAACTGCGTGCAACCGGGTTGCAGAATGTTTTCCCATGGCCCGGCTGCGTTGCTAGTTACTGCTTTCCCCAGGACCCAGCGTCCCCAGGTGCGGTACGATAGCGGGAGGAGGGCATTGGTATGGCGGGGCACGGCGGGGGACATGCAAGGAGCTTCGGCAACTCGGCCAATGACGGCAATGAGGAAAGACTGGCTGCGTTTCGCCCCAAATCCGTCTTCCCCTTTGAGCCGAATCCAGACCTCTCGCCCGACGTCACCCCTTTCTCACACTGCCCGGTCTTTGGTGTACACTTACAGATTGACCGTCAGACATTCCGCTACCTATTCCTACCTACCTTACACTATGAGACCATCAGTCAGTCAATCAGTCACTCACAGCAGAGCATTCAATTCCGCTCCCCCACACCAAGGCTCTCCAACAAGGAGACGCCACCACTACCTACCACTACCTATCCTCCTCTCTCCACGGAACAGACCACGAGGAGAAGCAGGGTCATTCAAAAGTATCTGGTACTTACTCCAGGAGCCTGTTCCGAACTATTTTCAGCTTCCGAGGTTTGTTTTACCCACGGTCCTGGCACCCAGCCAAGATTTCGTTCGCCCTACCAAAGACCATAGACACACCACTCACCTTATGCTTTCCCACGCGTGCCACGCCTACGACCATATGTAACTGGCTGGGCGGACGGAGGGCTGGGCGAGTCATCCTCACCGCGTAGAGCGTTCTTCACACTGTCCATCAACTGGCCTGGGCCAGAGGTCAGAGGTACAAGCCTCGAAACAGATGTAAGACGATTGGTCCAGGAACGCCTTTTGGCCGAACACTGCCGATGGCGGCCATGGCCTAGCTTCTGCTTGCCTATTTGCTTCTTTATTCTTATGCTCTGCCGTGACCTCTTCTTTTTTTGCTTGTGACTCTTCCAAGATTGACTTTCTTTCTCCTCCTCTTCTACCCCTCCAGGCACCAATCTCTTTCCTCGAACTCGTTGATCACTCGTCAATTGAGTTGTGAATAGCATCATTAGTCTGGTGCTACATCGTCTTGTTCCTGGTCTACCACGTATTTAGGCATTACTGTCCAACCTCGACTCCTATATACCCCCTCATCTCGAAGCGTATCGTCGCCGAGAAATCTCCTACGCTACAAACCCTCGGAATAGCATCACCTTTCCCACAAATCCCAAGCCACACATTGCCCATCATGGCTGCCAGCAACATGGTCAACAACGCCGTGGACCCGAATATCGAGGATGACCTGTTCCAAAAGGAGGTCGAGCAAGTCAAGAAGTGGTGGAGCGAGCCGCGATGGAGACACACCAAGCGATCCTTCACCGCTGAGCAAATCGTCTCCAAGAGAGGCCACCTCAAGATTGAGTACCCGAGTAACGCCCAGTCCAAGAAGCTCTTTGAAATTCTCGAGAACCGCTTCAAGAACAAGGACGCCAGCTACACCTATGGCTGCTTGGAGCCCACAATGGTCACTCAAATGGCCAAGTATCTCGACACCGTCTACGTATCTGGTTGGCAATCATCGTCAACAGCCTCAGCCTCGGACGAGCCCGGCCCGGATCTGGCAGACTACCCTTACGTGAGCTGTTCACCTTTGCAACCATTGTCCTAGTAGTTCCCCGTAGCTAACCTCCCTTGACAGACGACTGTGCCTAATAAGGTCGCTCACCTGTTCATGGCCCAGCTCTTCCACGACCGGAAACAGCGCCAGGAGCGCCTGAGTGTCTCCAAAGAGGCTCGCGCCAAGCTCGCCAACATCGACTACCTGAGACCCATCATCGCCGACGCCGACACGGGTCACGGCGGTCTCACGGCCGTCATGAAGCTCACAAAGCTCTTCATCGAGAAGGGCGCCGCCGGAATCCACATTGAGGACCAGGCCCCCGGCACCAAGAAGTGCGGACACATGGCCGGCAAGGTCCTCGTCCCCATCCAGGAGCACATCAACCGCCTCGTCGCCATTCGCGCCCAGGCCGACATCATGGGCTCCAACCTCGTCGCCGTCGCCCGCACCGACGCCGAGGCCGCCACCCTCCTCAGCACAAACATCGACCCCCGCGACCACGCCTTCATCCTCGGCTCCACGAACCCCAGCCTCCAGCCCCTCAACGACCTCATGATCGCCGCCGAGCTGGCCGGCAAGACGGGCGACCAGCTCCAGGCCATCGAGGACAACTGGCTGAAGCAGGCCAACCTCAAGCGCTTCGACGAGGCCGTCGTCGACGCCATCAAGGCCGCGCCCCTGTCCAACAAGGACGGCCTGATCCAAAAGTACACCGCCGCCGCCAAGGGCAAGAGCAACAACGAGGCGCGCGCCATCGCCAAGGGCATCCTCGGCGCCGACATCCACTTTGACTGGGACTCCCCGCGCACGCGCGAGGGCTACTACCGCCTCAAGGGCGGCTGCGACTGCGCCATCAACCGCGCCATCGCGTATGCCCCCTACTGCGACGCCATCTGGATGGAGAGCAAGTTGCCCGATTTCAAGCAGGCGCAGGAGTTCGCCAAGGGCGTCCACGCCGTCTGGCCCGAGCAAAAGTAAGTCCACAAGTCCTGCCTCGGGAAAGAAAGAATCCTCTTGGTAAAGAGATCGGTTCACTAACTTTTGTTCTTCACTAGGCTCGCTTACAACCTCTCGCCCTCCTTCAACTGGAAGACGGCAATGCCCCGCGCTGAGCAGGAGACGTACATCCGCCGCCTCGCGTCGCTCGGCTACTGCTGGCAGTTCATCACCCTGGCGGGCCTGCACACGACGGCGCTCATCAGCGACAAGTTCGCCAAGGCCTACAGTCAACAGGGAATGCGCGCGTACGGCGAGCTCGTGCAAGAGCCCGAGATGGACTCGGGCGTCGACGTCGTCAAGCACCAAAAGTGGAGCGGCGCGACATACGTCGACGAGCTGCAGAAGATGGTCACTGGCGGTATCAGCAGTACCGCTGCCATGGGTAAGGGCGTGACGGAGGATCAGTTCCACTGATTTTTGTTTGAAAAGGTGGGTGATGGAGATGTTGGGATGTGGTGTATGAGGGAAGAAGAAATGATCGGAGGTATCTACGATGCAAGGATGTTGTTGCGGTTGGATGGTAGGTGTACCTATTTAAAATGGGTTTAGGGTCGGTAGCACGTCTATGAATTGTTCGTTTTTACTCTATGACATTGTATGTGGTGTGTTAATATTTGGTGATGGGAAACAATAGCATCTAAACGGCAAGAGGTCCCCGGGCTGAAGCCGGCCGGACCCACAACGCGGACCACCCAGCGGACCAGCACCAGCCTGTCCTGCAGCGAGAGGCCCGTAATTACCAAGTCCCCACAGCTCCGACTCCGGAAGCCCGACCATGACGGCGTGCCACCAGATTGGCAAATCCGGGCCTCAACGGTTCCCACCTTGAGAGACGTTACCTAAGTATCTTCCTTTCCCATTTGCTTTGCTACTTGCGATGAACTCCACGCAGCCCCCCACCCGGCTGTTTGAGGTGGAAATGTGGGCACGGAAACCGGTCCGTCCCCACATCAGCTTTGCATCCCATCGGACCCTGTGCCGACGTAGATTGTTGAGATAAGTTAATAGGTATAACATGAAAGAGTCGCACGTCGTTAAGAGTTTCACTCATCTTGAAAGCATACAGTCTTCTTCAGTGATTTAGCTCTATCATCTCGAAACTAGTGGCGAAGAAGTGAGAAGCTCAGGGTTCTCAAATCTTTTTCATCTCCACGACACGAACTTACTTCATCTCATTCACCACCAAACAACATTCTTACACAATGACATCCAAAGACTCGCCAATCCTCATCATCGGCGCAGGCGTCTTCGGCCTCTCCCTCGCCTACGAACTCACAAAGAACCGCGGCTACACCTCCGTCACGGTCCTAGACCGCTTCCTCCCGCCCGTCCCGGACGGCAGCTCCGTCGACGTCTCGCGCATCATCCGCACAGAGTACGCGGACCCGCACTACGCCGCCCTCGCCACTGACGCCTTACACGGCTGGCAGACGTCGGAGCTGTTTGGCCCGCACTACCACCAGTCCGGCTTCGTCATGATGGCTGACGAGCGGGAGGGCCCGAGCGCCTATTTTGACAAGTTCCGCAAGTGGGAGAGCGGCGGGAGACCGGCAAAGGAGTTTTATGCACCGCCATTGGTGGATGTGGAGGTGAAGAAGCGGTACAAGGGCGTGCAGGCTGACTTGAAGGACTTCACGGCCACGTTGAATGCTGTTGGTGGGTGGGCTGATGCCGCGGGTGCGATTCGGGCGCTCGCGGGGCGGTGTACGCTCGCGGGCGTGTCGTTTGTCACGGGTCGTCATGGTACTGTCGTCTCGCTTGAGAGGTATGGGAATAAGATCACGGGCGTGAAGACGGCGGCGGGGACGACGCTGTCGGCGGACAAGATTGTTCTCGCGACGGGGGCGTGGACGAACCGCATCATCCCCGGCATGGGACACGCCATGTCGGCTTCGGGCCAGCCCGTGGGCTTCATCCAGCTTTCGGCCGAAGAGGCGGAGAGGGTGAAGGATATGCCCGTCATGATCAACATGAGCACGGGCGTGTTCTGCTTCCCGCCCACGCCGGGGACGAACTTGCTCAAGCTTGCGAGGCACGGGTGGGGTTTCGCGACCGAGGTTGAGGTTGAAGAGGGCGGGGCTGGGAAGAGGACGATTTCGACGCCGCGGTTGAGAGAGAGTAATGCCGCGTCTAGATATTTGCCGCAGGATGCTGATGAGGATTTGAGGGAGGGCGTGAGGTTGTTCTTCCCTGAGTTTGCGGAGAGGGAGTGGTGTTATAAGAGGATGTGTTGGTACACTGATACCCCTGAGGGAGACTTTATCGCGGACTATCACCCTGATTTCGAGGGCTTGTTCTTTGCGACTGGTGGTGCTGGACAGTGAGTATCTTCCTCTCCTTCGGGTTTCACACCTGGTTTGGTCATTTTCCGCTAACGTTGAGGAACCAGTGCTTTCAAGTTCCTTCCGGCTATTGGTCCGCAAGTCGCTGATAGCTTCGAGCGCAAGCCGTCTACGATATTGCGGGAGAAGTGGAGGTTGAGGCGGCCCACGAGCAGAGAGGAGCCGTTTGGGTTCTCGGGAGATGGTAGCCGCGCTGGGCCATTGCTGCGGAAGCTTTCAGTACAGGAGCAGTCTAAGTTGTGATATAATTGATTTCGGCAGCATTCTTATGGCATCGTTTACAAGGAAAAGTTTGAGAAGCATTAAATCATCTTTTCAAGCAACGCACTATGAAACCTGCGACGAACCAACAACGAATGCCGGCTTTTATGCACCTTTTTCTTAATCTTTTTGCCTGCTCTGGAACGATGCTCTGAATGACCAATGTTATGATTGACCCCGAGAATAGCATGGTGATTTCACCCAAAGAGAAACCGTTGCATCTCGCGTTCCAAGGGCTCCAGTACATATTCCTCTATCGACCGCACGAAATCCGAATTCTCAAAAGACGCATCCGGCTGCCTAGAAAGGTGAAGGCAGCACTCGATGGCACTTTTGAAACCAAAGGATACCTGCCCATCGTTGATTCGTTCTTCAAGCACCCTTGATGCAGTGGTATAACTGGTTTCTTCATTCGGTAAGCCATCGCGGCCCAAGTCGGCTTGCTTCGTCATATCCTCCAATGGATTTCCGCAGTGGATCTCTAGGAGCATAACGCCAAGAGAAAGCATCCTTTGACGGCAGGTGAGTTTTATAAAGCTGTCCGAAATCTGGGGCAGAGGCACCCCCTGAGTCACTGAACAAGTTTGAGCAAGACTGCAGCGACGTAGCTAGCAATAGCGGCGGTTGACGCACCTGTCTCGTATTTGTGAGCCAAGTAAGGGTGTTTGGCATCTATTTGCGAGTTTCTATCGCCCTTGAGGCGTAGAAACACAATGTTGTGCCGACTCCATGGTTCTACTAGCCAGGGTGTTTTCCCAAGCTGGATCACGGATGAAACGAGAGTGACTGCCAGGCACAGCAAGTCTCCCATTCCTAGTTGCATCGTGTCTGTAGCCAGGAACGTGTCCAGTGTGACTAAATCCTGCGCGAGATGACGTTGTTGTGCGTCCACCCGATATGGTCCTCGCAGGATATCAGAGGAATCCAAATCTAGTCCGGTCTGTGGGTATATAGCTCCTGCAATCGAAGAGCATATGTCGTCGATCTCCAAAGCCGGCAGATCGAGGGGAAATACAGGCCCAGATACGGCAAATTTTATCTTTGGTATCTTGTGACTACTTCAAAAGTTAAAAGGTCAGGAAGTCTCAGGAGCGTTTGAGTGGTTGCGCAAATACCTGGTTTCTGGAATGCTTTCACCAAGAACACGAATTTCCATGTCAAGCCACATCTTCTCCTCGACCCTCGGAAATGCAACTCCAAATCTTTCCAGGTTCCCACCATCTTTTAGTAGACCTTGTCTGTAAGCCTTTCTTCGGTGTAATCGTTGTTCGAGGAGAAGGCCAGCCTGGTGGCAGTCGTGCGTTCCACACCATCTCCTATGAAGGCCTTTGTGAAGTCGGGTGGCATTCTGCTGAATACTTTGTAGGGGGGCAACGAACTGAATGCGGGCCTTACTGCACGAGCCTTCATCTCGTTGAAGTCTACTGATCTTATCTGCCCCTTCCAAAAGCTTACGCAGCTGGGCGTTGAAGTCATTCATTGCTTGAAGCTTTTTGTCCACGGACCGCTTCTTGAAGGTGAATTCGAGCCGCTCCTCAAACCTAAAGCGCTCTTGAAGATCCTGAGAGTTCGATTGAGGGGGGTTCGAAGAGATGATGATAGAAAGCCCTTGTTGCTTTACCTGATTTGGGGCAATTAGTATGGACTCAGTATGTTCGAGGCTTCTGGCTCGCACCTTATTTGAGCCACATAACCCCAGCTTGGCCACTATACTGATTAAAAGATCACTGAGATCTTCCAGCAATCCCATGGTGGGTTCATACGCACATCCCAGCTTCCTCTTTAGCACGAGTGTGAGACCTTCGCTTCTCCAAAGAGAATGCTGTGAGTTCTTGACCATATGTTCCAATTCTTCTTCGTTGACAGCACGAATAAGCAGTAAGCGCATGTTCTGATCGTATGAAGCGTATTCTATATATAATCGTCGTATGATATTGTCGTAGTCTTTCTTACCGCGAAAGAATGCCTCTGCAGAGTCTAAAAGAGCTTTGCGATGCTCGTAAGCTGATATGATCAGAGGAATAGCACCGAGGACGAGCCCCGCTATCTCAGCCATCCTGAGCACATTGACCAAGGCCTAAAGTGTGTGTCTGTGTCAAGAAATTAGACTATGATGCATGATACGGATACTTTATCATGGTTTGTAGACAATGATTGGCGTTGAGAACTTCTCGATGTGATTTTGGGAGCATGGGCTTGGGGAAGCAATGTCTAGTTACGAAGCGGCTCTCAAAGATCTTTTGACGACTGTCTGCCGTTGCAGCCTTGCAGCAACAACGATATGACTGGACAACGTTGCGTCATTAAGATGATGAGCAAGCTCGAATGGAGTCTTATTTGGTAAATACCCCTCTTTTGGCTTCGTCTCCTTTTTTGCTACCCCGGTAGCCACAGCCTGATCTTACGGAGCATGATCCCCCCCAAAAGGCGAGACGTAATCATCTGCTTGCTTCATTCGACTATCTCGGCAATCTTATAGCAGCCAAGCCTCTACGATCAATCTACCACTTGGTCTTTCAAGGCCAGCTCAAATGTTGCACAGTCCGGGCGCCTCATATCTGGTCATCTGTCCAGGACTTGGCTACGCAAAGCCTCTATCAACGCGAAGGTTCGAAAGTCGCGTGTTCTCTTGACAGACAGGATGGAAGAACTTCCAGTGTTTCCATTAGCTGCAGCTAGCAGGGCTTGCAGGCACTCTTTCAGATATTTATTATCGGCGTTAGAAAATCCAGATCAACGGTCTGATGGAAAGCTGGACGCCAGTACTGTGGGGGCTCAACGCGATCGGTTCAAAGTATGGGCGTCCAATCTCGGGGCTTTACAGCACGGAAGGGCGTCTCTAGACTTCCGCCTGATGGACGCACCTCTTCTACAGAACGTGGTCTTGAAGTTTCTGAATGAGTTGAAAAAGACTGTTCATGAAAGTAGGTCTCTGTTACAACAGAAGTAAAACTGATGCAATATCTGATCGACACAACCAGGTACCAAAGTTGTCGAAGGAAAGAGGCAGCCGAAAGAGAACTTTCTGATCGAGACTCTGAGCTATCCATCGGCCCACGAGGACGATTCCTCTAGTTCCAGCAGCTGTTCTGAGGGACTTGAGATAATTAACGGCAATTTTGCGCAAACAGAATTGGGCCAGAACTCCGACGAGATCGACGACATAATATCTTCGTTGGTCAAGGTATCCTTCCGCATCAGAGGAATCCGCTCGAGGGATTCCCAAACAGCACGGAAAGCCATGATTTATAAAGAGTTCATCCAAGACGAAGAAATGAACACTTTCGATGTGTTCTCAATATACTCCGTCTTTGACCAGCGGCATGTAGAAGAGTGGATTGTTCAGCTAAGGAAGGCTGCCGAAGCAAGGGTCTCTACATCCCATGATCCTGCGCAGAACACCACAGATAGAGTCGGCAACGGGGAAGACCAATCGCATGAGAGGATATCAATTTTCAGGGACAGTGATAAAAGACTCATTGACCGTTGGAGCAAAGCGGCAACTGTCAGACGTCGAACTTTGGCTTATTGGCGAAGACACGCTCGGAAGTTGGCCAAGCTGGATCCTGAAGCGGTGCAACAAGAGAGTCAAGTCATAGTCCCGATGCCGGAATCATTTGATACCATTCAGCCAGCAGTTTTACCTCCTAGGATCCTGCGTGTTACGGCGCCGGATTCGGTCGTAGTACCGAGCTCCGAGGGCGTTACACTTCTTTCTGAGACAGAAGCCACCCAAATCCCAACGCAGATGGATGTGACTGACACCTTATCGACTGCTTCACACTCGACGTACTGGAGTGAAGAAGGCAAAACTACGAATCTACCAAAGCCTCCTAAGCTGGAAAGCTGGAAATCAGAGTTCACATGCCCATACTGCCATGTACTCTGCCCGAAACGAGACACGAGAGGCAGACATTGGAGGTAAGCCATCACAATTACCTACTATACGTGACCGGCTCAACTCATAACTTTCATAGGGATCACATCATGCAAGACCTTCAACCCTATCAATGCACCTACTCGGACTGTGAAAGTGCCGACGTATTGTTCACTAGTAAGGACTCGTGGACTGGGCACGAGTCTCAGGTTCATCGAAAGGTCTGGAGGTGCTTCGAGCATCCAGACCTGTTCACATCGGAGGACGAACTAGCACTCCATTTTGAACTTTCACATGCTACACTCGGGAGTACACAGGTCCAGGAAATCTTGAAACACGCCTACACTAGCACACAGGACTTGCGGACAGAGTGCCCTTTCTGTTTGTCCCATGGCCCATTTGAAGAAGATTTTACGAGCCATATGGCTTCCCATATGGAGCGACTCGCTTTGTTCTCCATACCCACGGGCATGGGAAACGACGACCAAGGATACGGCAGTGATGGTCAATCAAAGACCAGCGGCTCAGGAGCCGCCCAAGGTGGGGGATCTGTATCGTCTCTCAACTCGGTCAGTCTGGCTTTTTCAGATGCCGGCTCTTTGCTCCCATCTGCCTCTGAGCCCGGGACAACTGGCCGCCAGACCACCGACAGTCCGGCTTTTGAGCCACAAGATGATGATGCACCAAAATTAGACGCAAGTAGCGAGCGCGAGCTTTGGGACTGGCTCGCTCCGGAGCGGCAAACGCGGGTGTACGAATCCTACCTCGGTAAACGGCACCCAGGCACCCTCAGGTTATTTTTCAAATCGACAGAATACCGATCGTCAATCTCTTCTATGGATCTATGGCGTACGTCCGACCCTTTCAAAGGGCGAAGGCTATATCTACCAGGCCTGCCAGGTGCTGGCAAGTCTGTCTTGGCAGCTGCAATAATTGAGGATCTCGCGAAACGTTTCAAATCACCTGGGCTTCGCATCGCCTACTATTTCTGTCCTTCCCGGCGCCAGAAACGGACAACTGAGGCGCTGCTTCAGAGTCTCATAAGACAAATACTTGAAGGTTTGCCTGAAATACCGGATATTGTTCGAACATTATACGGGAGTTATCTGCAAGATGGAACATTGCCTCCACAATCAGCTTTACTGGACATTCTGAAAGAAGCCGCGGGTAAGGTTTCAAGGCTATTCATCATCATCGATGGCTTCGAAATTCTGAGTAGTGATCAAGGTCGCAAGCTTTCAGAAAGCCTGGGATCCTTAGCACAAAGCTTTAACACGCACGTCTTAGTAACATCGAGGTCTATTCCTTATATAGAGCATAACTTTGGACTCTGGTGGACTATGAATGTTCGAGGTTCTAAAGAGGATTTGCGAAGTTATGCCAGAGCAGCCATACTTCACGACAATACCTCAACATCCCTCGAAGTAGAAAAACTACAGCAGGCAGAAACACGAGTCGTACAGTTCTCCAAAAGGGTGTAAGTGATATCCTTGATTAACTTGCGACAACGACTCATGACAATAGTTTCTCATTCGCCACGATCTATCTTGAATCTACAATCCTTACACCCACGGAATGGACGGGACACGCAAACCCAGGCAGAGAACTACAGAAGATGATTGACATCTTTTATACAGCTGAAATGAAGCGCAACCAAGACTTTTCAGGGTTTGAAACTGTAACTGAACTCTTGGCATGGGTCGTCAGGTCTCCGACTCGATTGCAGCTTCGAGAGTTGAAAGAAGTCTTGCTTTTGCAAGCCGAATCAGGAAGTACGAGAGGGGCAGTCGATCCTGATCATCTCCATGACATGGAAAAACTTCTGTTCTGGTGTTCAGGACTTGTTGTTCATAGTGACGACGGCTCTCTTCAACTTTTCCATCCCACAGCAAACGAGTATTTCATTCGCAACCAAACGAAGTGGTTTCCAAAGGCAGCAGAAAACCAGGCATACTTTTGCTGTGTATACCTAAGAAACGCCACAGACAAGGATGAAGACTTAGATCACGGACTCCAGTACTATATAACGAAGTACCCATTCGTCGTTCACGCTGCTGTTGCTTGGGGTCGTCACGCATTCCAAGCATTCGAAAAGAATGGACTTGGTCAAGTCAGATTGTACATACTGGTTCAAGACTTCCTTTCCAGTAAGCGGAGGGTGCGGCTTATCATCGAGGCACTGAGAGAAAATGTCAAGTTGGTTCCGGACAGAGTGCCAGACGCGGCCTTCTCCGAGTCCTGGACGAGCCTCCACCTAGCGACATATTTCGGGCTCACGAATATTTTGAGAGACTTACTTCGGGAATATGAAGGTAAGGAGGACGTGGTTTTGGGAGGGAGTCCTTCGCTATTTGAACTAGCCGCAGAGTGTGGTCACAAGCCGATCCTGGACCTTCTCCTTGACAGATGGAACCGGGAGCGGTCCATTATAGACGGCATTCTGTTGGGAGCAGCTCGAGGAGGCTGCAAAGACATTGCCAAAATGGCTTTGGATCTCGGTGCAGATCCTAGAAAGCCTGCGCCGCTATGCGCCGCGTCTCAGTACGGCCAAGACCGGATTATTCGTCTACTACTGAATACGGCGGCAGATTTAGTCGAATATGGGCATGAAGAGCCACTTCGCCTCGCCATCAGAAACGGGAACTTGAGTATTATTCGCTTGTTCTTTGACCGAGGAGTTCCTCATTATGCAAACTGGAACCCCGAAAAGCTGCTATCTGAAGCGATCAAGGCGAAGCGGAAGTCAATTACACGATTTCTCCTGAAAACAGAGCCGAGGTTAGTAACAGCAGAGCTTGAAGAGGGCACAAAGCCTCTCTTCCTTGCTATTGAGCAAGATGACATTGGAATGGTTGAACTCTTGTTGCAGTGTGGAGCACGTGTGCATGAAAAGGCCAAAGATGGGCTGACACCGAAGGAGAAGGCAAATGATCTCGGTCGAACCCGTATGGTTGATGCAATAGCGTCATGGGAAGAGAGAAGTGGGGGTATAGAAGATGCTGTAGCAGGAAGCTAAGATGATGGAGCGTAAGGTAGGCAAAGATGAAGGCAAATAACGACCTTGGACTACCGCCATGAGATTATTACTGAGATCGGTCAGGATCCCTCGTAGCACTTCGGCGTAGAATACAAGTCAAGACGATGGAGGAAAGGTCACTGTTTTGAAACATGTGAGCGTTGTGCTCCGTACCAGTTATCCATTTGTGTGCCCAGGAACCCCCAGAGGTTTAAATGGGCCAGCCAAGACTTACTCTGAAAGATCTTAAATCGGACAACAATTTAGACGCTTCTGGTCGTTGATAATAACCTAGAGAATACGCTGGTTCAACTAAGAATCCCTCGCAACCCGATCTCGTGGACATGGGAGTATTCTTGTGAGAATTTGCTCATTTTTGTCAAAGCCTCACTAGGTAAGGAAGTTTCTATTTACACAAGTCCAAGGTCCTTCTCCACCATACCACGGCAAATGGGGTGGTAAAAGTCTCTATTCTTCTCAAACGTCTTGAGCGCAAGCTCCCGATCAACCTTGTTGAGCGACCGGAACAGCGGCCTCACAAACTTCATGCGGCCAACGTGGCCCAGCAACTCCGCGGCGCCCTGGTACGCGGACGAGTCCTCGGCGGCGAGCGCAATCTTGTAGTACGCCGTCTTGAGCTCGGCGTTGCGTGACGAGACGAGGTCGTACACGGTGCCGAGCAGCTTTGCGCGGTCAGCCGACAGAGGGGACGGGAATTTCTCGATCGTCTCGAGGAGGACGAGCTTCTGGTTTCCGGAGAAGGAGGCGACGTCTTCGGCGGAGGGCTTGAAGGACTCGTCCTTCCAGTTCTCGGCCAGCTTATAGCAGACATCGGCCAGGGTGGTGTCGAAGACGGGTTTAGGCGGGAGACCGGGCTGGTAGAACCACGTGTCCCAGTCGATGGAGGCGACCTTGTTCTTGATATCTTCGTCGCCAGAGCCGTTGAAGAAGGTAAGGAAGGTGTCCTTGAACTCGAACGAGTCGAGAGACTTGCGGGACCACTTTGTAAAGTAGTGGGGGATGAACTTGTCAAAGGCGTCCATGCCGACGAGACGCTCGAGGTAGTAGAGGAAGTGGAAGCCCTTCTCGTAGGGGACGGTGCTAAAGGCGTCATCGGGGTCTATGCCCTTGTGGTTGATGATGAGCTTGGTGAACTCCGAGTCGGCGCCGTTAAGGGCGACAGCGTCCTCGAGGGCCTTCCAGCCGATGATGGCGGAGAAGTCGCGCTCGGCGTCACCGTGGACAGCCATGCCGATACGGCGCTCAAGATACGTGGTCCAACCCTCGTTTAGCCAGCTATATCACATCATCAGCACCCTCTCTATTACGAATTCCAACACACCAGACTCTCACTCACAAGTGCTCCCAACTGCAGCTGGTAACCAAGTTTCCACTCCACGAGTGACTCAGCTCGTGTGCAATAACGTCGACATTCTGCTTGTCACCGCTGATGATGGTCGGCGTAGCAAACGTGTAAATCGGGTTCTCCATACCGCCGTAGGGGAAACTCGGCGGCAGAACGAGAACGTTGTACTGACCCCACCGGTAAGGGAAGACAAGCTTCTCTGCAACCTCCATGAACTTCTCCATGTCGTTCTGCAGCTCCCACTGCGACTCCTTGAGCTCATCGGGACCCGTGGCAACGATGCTCCGCGGGCCGATGGGCGCTGTGGCGATATCACCTGAGGCCAAGGCGAACAGATACGAAGGGATGGGAACCTTCTGCTCGAAGCGGTAGACCGTGTCGTCACCCTTCTTCTCATCCTTGCCGGAGCCCTCGACGAGGACACCACTGGCAACGACGGGCAGAGGCGAGGCGAGGACGAAGCTGTACGTCGACTTGACGTCCGGCGTGTCCTGGCAGGGGAACAGCGAGCGGGCGTGGATGGCCTGGCACTGGGAGAACATGTACGGGTGCTTCTTGTTGCTCGTCTGCGCGGGCGTGAGCCACTGCAGGGCGGTGCACTTGTCCGTGGTAGCGAGGTCGACGTCGACCTTGACCACCTCGCCCTTGGCGGCGCCCTGGGGCACAAAGACGTGCAGAGGAGCGCCGTACGGCTCCACGCGGTCCTTGAGCTCCCATGTCGAGGTGGCGGCGTTGACCTTGACGCCCGAGATGGAGAGGAAGCTCGAGTCGAGGATGATCTCCTTGCTCTGGCTGTGCGTCAGGGACTCGAGCTCCAGGGTGACGGAGCCCTTGAGAGACTTGTCTTCAAAGTCAATGGTCAGGTTGGCGGTGGTGTGCTTGGTCAGCCACGCGCCATAGTTGGACAGGGTGTTTGGGTCTCTGTTGGCCGAGGTGGTGGACGCCATCTTTGCAGTAGTGCCGAAGGCGGCTGCGCGGCTCTGGGGGCTCGTGAGGCGGGTGAAGCTTGTTCTGAGAGGAGTTGAACCCTTTGCAAGAAGGGATCGCCACATGTGTGTGAAAACTTGCTGACTTTGCGGAGCTCCAGTTCTCCAGAAATTTGATGTCTTTCAACTCCTCCTCTCGTGATGTTGTTGGTAGCACTTGCCACATTCGGACTAAGGTAGAGGGGTAGCTTCAGCCACACGTGGGACACAATGGTCAGCCACGGACGGTTAATTCGGCAACTGTCTAAGCCACATATCTCCAGCCATACTTTATCTGGATCTGTCATGGAAGCCACGAATGTTACCTTGGAGAGGGCGGCTGCTTCTTTCCAGCCCCCACCTCACGTTTGTTTCACTAGGTGGTAAACCCTCGTAAAGAAGTCTTCAGCATTCATCCCAAACGTCCCAAAGATGAGACAGGCCAGGCGAACGATTGCTTGCTATCTCGCTCCATCTACAGAGTACGAAGTACCCTTCTCAATCGATCAAATGCCGTGGCTTGAGCACGACATCCAACGGCGCCATCGAGATGGCCATCCCCCATCACTCTAGATGAGATCCAACACCCGCATCAAAGACCGGACCATCGGCTCTCCTGGAAGCCTTGGCTATCACACTTGTCTTTTAAACTCCAGGCACTCCAGGCACACCAAAAACTCAACCGTCGATAAGCTCACGCGAGCCCAGCACGGGGCATCTTCCGTATCTCTCTCTTGATTGTCTTCGACCTCCACACGAACTTGCAGAGCTGCAGACGCCAGCCAGAACGGAGCTGAACGAGCGAACCACGAACAAGACCAACATCCTGAAACGGCGCTGCCTTTCTCCGGGGATGGGATCTCCCTGCGTGACGTATCCGTACCCTTGGAGAGAATCTTTGGGCCGTCTTCGCACTCCGGGATACGGGGATTGCCCAAGCCGTTCCTTGTGCCTGCTCGCCGCCGTCCCGACTTATCCTTCCCTCTCCCCTGGCCCCTGGAGGCTTGTCCTGTGTTTCTGTTCCCCAAGCCACCCGTCACCGTCCACCCCTTTTTCTTTTCCCGCTGCCGCATGATATCACACACTCCCACATACCTTCGTACAACACCGAGGGAGAGGGAGAGTTTGTCGACAGTAGCCTGGAACAAGAAAACTTCTCTCCGTCTTTTCCGGGGTGAGAAACCGGACGAAAAGTCTCCTTCTCACCCACCCGGCTCAGGCCTCGAGTCCTGGACCTGGATGTCGATAACCCACCCCCCTTACACAGAAGCTAGATACCTCGACAAGCAGTTCGTTCCATGTTCCGCCTGGCCGATCTCCCTTCCTACGAGGAGTTTCGGAACTCACAATCAAACAAATTGCTCTCAGCGGAGGGCCTTCTTCCACGTGCGTGCGTCAGGGGAGAGAGAAGGGTGAGAGATAGAGGATAGAACGGCAGGGCTCCAATAGCCGGTGATGATGATGCTGCTGCTGGGGACAATCCGACAATGGTCACGACTCCAGGAGGGCTTCGTTTCCTCCTGAAGCTGGAGCAAGACGCGTCAGAAATACAGCCAGCCGTCGTTTGAATGTGGCCGTTGCGCCCCGATTCAGTTTCCTCCTCGCGATGCAAGAGGTCGTTTCTGCTTATGGATTCGCGGCAGGCCCTTTCCCACCTCCCTTTTCCCGTTCCCGTCAACACCCTCCTTTTCGTATTCCATCCGGCCCGATCTTTGTATCCGTAGACCCCTTCCCGCATCTGGGCTGCATCCGCATCTATTTGCATCCGCATGTAAGACAAGAAAAACTGACACAAAGTTCTTCGTGACTGCAGAATCGGAGATGGTGGCGGGTCTGCAGCCTCACCTTCTTTCTTCTTTTTTCGGCCTCCTGCCTCTTTCCGCTTCCACCTCGTGAACAAGCCCCCCCCCCCAAACCGCTCGTTCCCTATTCGCCTGGACCGGTTCGCACTCCTCACTCTACTGTGTACTGTGGTGGAAAAAGCATTCCCAACGGAGTATCGCGAGAGGACAGGGGTCGGGGCCGTGGAAGGGGTTGCTCTGCATCCGCGGCCGTGGCTAATGCCCCTCGCGGTCACACCGGCGGCGCGGCATGGCGTGAGTTGTGGATACCAAGAGATTCCAAACCCAGCTCCGGGGGTTGGCAGACTCGAGGAAAAGAGTGAGAGAGAGTCAAGGGCTCCTCCTCCGGCTAAAATGGGTGGATGCGAGATATGTGACAAGACCTGCATCGTAACGGTTGCCACGGGTATGTCCATCGTTAGGCGAGAAAAAAAAATCCCACTTAGAAAGCCCACAGGCAGAGGCCGCCCAGTAAAAAGACAACCATCTAGTCAAGTCTCGTAGTGGACTTCGTACGAATACGGATACCCAGGTGACAGTCGTTACGTATCCGGGTATAATCGCTTGAAGCCTCCCAATACGTAAAGGTAGATACCGTCCACCATTCCTCTTTGCAATATCGCTTCTTGCGACTGAGGAGAAATAAAAGACCCATCCCCATACCGGGCGAATATCCTCAAGAGCGATAGACTTTCCCGAGTGTAAAGCTTAGTATAGCAAAGGATATTGAATATTCTGCATCTTGAGACCCCTCCCCAAGGAAAAAAGACCGTCAAGCTTGCGGATACCAGACGGCCTCTCAATCTCAATCGCAGAGATCCATGCCTCCATCACCAATAACGGGTCCGTCTTATTCATTTACTCAGGGCCCTCAGGGCTTGAGCCTTGAGGGGGGGGGGGAGCTGGGAGCTTGTCCGACCACCCTTACCCCACACTTGATGGGGGCGCGCTGTCACCCTGTCACAAGAGAAACCCACATTCTTCTGGAAGCTCGCGACCAACCGGAGTCCAAATAGCCAGCAGGGGTCTCGCTCGTTTCTTCGGTGGAAGAGGGACGGGGGGCCACGGGGGTTAGGGGGGGGGGGAAAGGGATGGTTGGAGATTGAAAGGGGGGCTGCAGCAGTTCTTCGCTATAGCGTTATATGTGGCGTTGCCTATGATAAGATGCGAGCTATCGCTCTGGGAATATCCGTACAGTTTGTGCAATATTTGCCGATATTTATTTGGGGTCTTTGGGGGAGCCTGTGAGGTTTGTGAAAGTTGAGCCCGGGATGGGCCGGGCTGTGCGAGAACAGGTGTGCTTCCCTCGTGCCGTCGTGAAACAGCCCGAATGTATGGCTATGGGCTGTTGGACAATGCAAAATTTGATCACGGTTATTGACGAACAGGAGATAACCTCGTTCCTGGAAGACGGGAACGATTGTCTCGCTAGCCAGGCTGGTGTAATGGGCGTTGTTGGCCTGGATACCTGGGCTTGTAAGCTCTGACAAACGAATGCTTGGAAACTCACTGAGCAGCAGGTAGGCAAGGCAGTGCAGGGGTGAGGCCGTAAGGGTTCGCTGAATGCCACTTCTATCAAGGCCTGGAGGCTGGACTGCTGAACTGCTGGAGGGCATGCTCTAGCCTGTGAGTCTGTCGCAAGCAGTGATAAGAGCCACGAACAGGGTGTGAGATGCAGAGCGATGCCGTTTTGGAGGCCAGATTCCGCAGCGAAGGACTTCAGCCACGGAGGATGTGCCGGAGGATGGGCACCTTTCGAGTATGGACGCTTCCTCCTCGACTTGATCTGGCCCTCTCTATCTACCACGTTGGAGGGATCGCGGTTTCGCACCACTGCAGGTGCGTCGTGACCTTGCCCTTGAAGCTTCATGGACCAGCAGCAACCGCGGAGCGCATCCGTTGAAGCCAAGACCGGGAAAAGGGGGGCCAGCATGCCAGTGTCGGCCTGCCCCTCCCAGCCTAGCTCATCTTCATACACATTGGTGGTACTGGTGCGGCGTGGCCGAGCTGTGACTGGATGCCCCCAGGTCACGCTGGATAGCGTTTTCCCAAGCAAGAGGGACGCTAACAATTCAAGCTTAGCAGGGAGCTTTGCCGGAAGCCAGGCTCAACGCGTGGCTTTTCTCTCTCTGTCTCTTTTTCTTTGCGTTGGGGCCCGAGGGGAGGGATTTAGCATCGGTCTTGCTCCGAAGCGGGGTTGGTCGGCCGAGTTCGCCAAGAGAGGGACCAGGAGGACGGTGCTCCTTGCAAACCTCGTCAGAGACCGCTAGAGACCGGATCGGTGCCGAATGATCGAATACCGGATATGAAAGTGTGGGAATACTGCCCGAAAAGCCAGCCTTGATCCTGCGCCGGGAGGGCTCGGTCTGGCACCGAGAGCCAATGCGAGAGGGCCGTATGCGTGGTAGAGATGTCCAGAAGGCATACACTGCTCGTCAAAAGAGGCCCGTGTTTGAACGTTGCGTGCTCCGTCAATCCATGGTGATGGCATGCATACTGCTACTGCGAGCCGCGGTCTGTTTGTACGTTGCCGTAGATTGCAGCAAGGCAATGTAAGTGGGAGCCTAGGTAGGACAAGGGCCGGGAGCACAAGTCCGATCGCGTTTTCCGCGCTAAGAATTGATTGAGGGGCACCGACAAGATCTTAACATGATAGCCTGGGAACGTTGGCCAAACTTTAACCTCGGGTTAGATTCAGGTAGTGAGAGAGAGAGGAGGGAGAGAGTTTGTGCGAGTCCATGGTATCCGTAGCTTGAGAGTTCAAGGGTCTCGCCTGACGCCTATCTCCTTCATCTCCACTAGCCTCTGACATATTGCAACTCCTACAGCGTGTCATGGTGATTGTCGAGGAGAAAATCGATCGGTAACTGGTCGATCCTGTCATGGCTGTCGTCTATCGAATGCGATGCCTCTGCGAGATTAGCTTGTTGTACGGAGTACGAAGTTGTTGCTGTGTTAGTTGACAAAGAGAAAGGGCCTGTCAACCATGTGGCTCCGGCATTTGCGCTGCTGTAATCGTCGGAGAAAATTGGAAACTTGGATGGGACTGACTGCTGATCTCCCCCGAATATGCCCGTTGACATGCAGGTCCCGAGACGGGTGCCAAAGTCAAAAAACTATACGACGAAATAATACTCCGCATGTTGATCCCTTTTCTCACGGGCCACTCGCATCCATGTCGGGACCTCTTGACTACGTCGGAGGGAATCTCCTCAACTCTTCAACGTGTGGTGGCCTCGCAAGGTTAGCATCTCTAGTCCGAGACTGTGGCCTACCAGGGGCAAAATTGTAGAGTTGGCTAGCCGCTCAAATCTGCGCCCAACTGCAGTTTTGTCAAGGGGTTTGCGACGTTTTGCAAGTCGAGTCTTGACTCTTTTGCCAAAGAGTGATGCTTCGCCCTCCACCTTTCGTGATAGTGTTTCTAGGGGTCGCATCCCCCGGCTTCGCAATTGCCCCCCCCCCCCCCTCAAACAACACATGAATACTACCTTCATGTATTGGCAGACTGAGCCTTGGGACCTCGAGGTGACGCCGTTCGGGGGTAGATACTCAACATTGGCCGTTCTCCCGTCGTTGGCCTTTTCTCTATCCGTACGCCTTCAACCGTAACTGGTGTTGTGTGGCTTCGCTTCTGACGGGGATGAAATCTTATCCAGGGCTTCTTCCTCGTATCGTAGCTGTTATAGAGAGATTATTCTCACTTGTGATTTCCTTGCCATTGACGAGTAATAGGTTGCAGATGACTACCAGGTCAAGTTTCCTGGATGAAACGCTGTTTCGACCCCGCACTTGAAGCAGGCGAAGGTGTGTCTGCCACCTACTGCTCGAGCCTCGGGCACGCTAGATTAGAATCTCTCTTTGGTGGGCAATGATGCTTACAATGCCACGATCAGACACAATGTTAACCAGAGAAGTGACAGGTCCTATGTGATATGACGATTCGCTCTTGCGTCGGAAGCTTGACCGCTGTCTATCTCCGGAACCTGGTGGAAGCGAGAATTGGTAGAGGCCTCGCCCACGGACCATCATTTCTTGGTAGTTTGGTCTAAACCAATTCGCCACAAAGTTGACGTATCTTCGAAGGCATGTAAACGGTCTATGATGTGTGCGAATCCACATCCTCCTCTTGTTGCAAGGCTGCAACCCAGTGGCGTATCATTCAGCGTGCGAATGGGGGCACAATGTTGTCAGTGTGTCACACAGCCCATCGTTGACATCAACTGGGGAAGACACCAGGCTTGATCGAGGCCAGAAGTCGTTGGGAGGGCTTTGGTATAGGCCTCTCTCTATGTGGGATGTGAGCAAACAGCCGTATCCCGAGACTGTTGTAAAGCGAGTCTCGAGAGAAATCTAAGCGATGTGAGGCAATGGCGCTAACCATGGGTCTGCGACGAACCAGACTCTAGTGCCTGTCATTACTGCATGTAATATAAGCTTGGTATGCCAGGAATATCAGAACGATGGCAGGTTGTCTCGATGTCAGATCCTTACTTTGCTTGGTGTAGCCAGGTCCCGTGAAGGAAGATGCCTGCTGTTGTATCCGTACCGTGCTGTTCTTCAAAAGCGTGGGGGCCTTCAATGCCCGAGATTACAATGATTGCTGCCCATACTAGCAGTGATGGCGCCCTACTATCCCCTCACAATCGAGGTGCCACCACCTTATCTCCACTGAGGTTGTTTGGAAAGCTTGTTTCCGGCATATGAAGTTGCTTCCTGGCGGATAGATGCCGGCTGACAAGATTGGAGGTCGTCTCATCATCGTCAACGGCCGGACATGATAGCGACCTGGACCAGACGACATAAGTGAATCTCGACACATCTGAACGCGCATATCGAAGGCTGCATGGGCGATGTTGATTTCTCAGAAATAAGCTACACATGAAACTGATGCTGTGGTTTCGGTCCTCATTGGTGTGATGCGGCACTTGGAAGTTTGTGGAGTTATCGGCACTTGGTCGGTGGAGAATCGTTGGACCAAACAACGCGAGACAAGATGGAAAAGATGATGGCGCAGATAGCTAGCTAGATTCAGATAGCGAGAGGATAGACGGCATTGTTCAGCGTCAGTGTTTCACTGGGCGAAACCCTCAGTTTGCTCAATACAGCGCCAGCTCAGCAGATCTCATAAGATCTTCGAGGCCCGGGCCACGAGTTCTTCCTGTCAGTTGTTGACGTAACTCTAAAAACCCTCAATTTTGGCTGACCGCTATGCGTCAACCCAGTATCCATTCGCAGTGCAACATCTGCATCATGGCTTTGTGGTTCATTCTCTTGTCTGCTGCCGCGCTCCCGTTAAGGACTTGCTTCGTGGTCCCATGACTATGAGAATGGCGAGTTCTGAGTTCCGACTCCTGAGAGTACCGCAGTCATCTCCACCATGCATCATTTCCCTCTGAATTTTCGTGACTCGTTTGCAGCATAAGCGATGTGAAGAATGCGACGTCGTTGCAGACATGGTCTCAAGTGCGGGGTGTAAGAAGTCGCCCCAGTCCGTGTGAATGTGACGACGCTGGAGCATCGCAGCGCGCCAGCACGGTCATGAACCAGGTTGTAGCCGGCCGATCTCAACGCGGATGCGTCCGCGCACACTGACCACCAGCCCTGGCTATCTCTGGCCTTGGGGAGGTGGAAGTCCTAAATCAGGCGAAATATTGAAGGCATCGTGTCAAGTGTGTCGATGATGTGTCCTAGCCGCGATTGTCTTTATGAGCCGAGCCTTGGAGATGAAATATTGGTCTCTCTCGTCAAGTTGTCGGATATGAGGTTCCTCAACCAGACGAATATATTCCACTGAGGCCCGTCTTACAATACAACGGTGCGATATTGACATCACTCAGGATCCACGATCCCGGCGCTCTGCTCGTTGCAAAACGGTAAACCCAGTCGATTCCGATATTGTCCTGCCACCGCTCTATGGAGTACACGTGCAAAGTGAGTAAAGCCCCCCTGCATTAATGAACAGCTGGAGCTTTGATATCTTGGGCACCCAGTGTCGAGATGGTTCGTCGACAGGGGAGCTTCGTTGGGAGGCCAAGAAGCCAGGGGCCCTGGCAATTGCTCAGGATAGGGGAGTGGCTAGGGGCGGAGATCAACCTATTTCAGACATGTATGCTGCATCTTCAAGGGTACCTGGTTCCACCTAGTTTTCATCGTCCCCACAGAAGGATGGGAGCCTGAGGAGGTCTCGACAGCTTGATCTTCGTCTTGAGGTGGACGAGTGTTTCTGTCCGTATCCGTACTCCATACGTCCATTCACCGTCGTCCAAGGTGCAGTGAGTTGCTGTAGAATGAAAAGCACCGAGGATGTTGTCCAAACCTATTACGAGGCGAGCTTGAACCCCACGCCTCGTAGTGCAAGCTGCTTTCTTATTCCAATTCTTCAAAGACGTCTCAGTTCCGTGTGCGCGGCCAGTGCATACGTTATTGGCAAGTTGGGAAACCCCCACGTTATTCGGATAGACGCCGCTGCCCGTCAGCACGCGGTCGTCAAATCGCTTAAGAGCGCTATGGCTTGAGTCAAGTTTGACCTCACTTGACTCCTCACACTCTCATATGCTCCATCATACCTATCTATCCGCGCCGCGGAAACTGACGTTCGGGCCACTGGGAGGAAACGGAGACGTGGAAACCATGTTGATCTTAATGGCAAGGTTGCTGCTGGGCTCGTGGAAGACGAACCAGGGGTCCCTTACCTCGGGAGTGAAGTCCGGCCAACGTGGTTACCTAGACTTCCTGGTCGATATCCGTAAAGCGAAGAATATTTGGTACTCCGTCAATTCGTACGGATAGACGCGTGAGGATCAGTAGATTCGAAAGCTTTCACGGGCTGCTCGGACAACACCAAGATTCTAGCTACTAGCGGTGTGATCATTGTTGAAGGTATTCAAGACACCCATGCGAACTCATGACCGGAGCCGAGATTCGCAGCCTATTTTTCACGGAGATTGCGGCTGGGTCGAGACGGCTCGGAGCGCTTCAGACTCAAGTGCGCAGGATGCACGGTAGTATTCGTCAATTGCGGGCACCTCGTCCGCACGTTGCTCTGGTCCAGGATGGATACAGAATGGGCTAGTGGTCGATCCATCAGCCTTCGCCATGAGCAACGATGAAGTAAATGGAACGCTTTGACAGATGTGACCGGCTCAGCTGTCATTTTGAGCATGGCGTGTTTTCTAGGCCTCATTATTTCCGCGCCTAAGAACGAAGAGGAGGGGAAAAGGGAGTCATAGCGAAAAACGGCAATTGGGGTTGGCTGTGTTTGACAGACCGGGAGGATCCTAGGCAGCTCAGCGATCCAAAGGCGCCGTTGTTTCCTTGAGCAGTATTGGTGATACGATTAACGTCAAGAACGTGGAGACGGGAACAAGTGTTGGGCCGCTCATAGTGCTGGACCAAAAAAAGCTTGGCGACTGGAATTCGGCGAGCGT